CTGTTACTGCACAGTTTAGTTACACTTTACAATACGGTGTATTACCTTAGTTTACTTGAACAATACTTCAGCGTTTATTCATTAATATTAAATTCAAGATTTACTAATACAGTATTAAAATCAAAGTTTGCATTTGTTAACATTAGTTAATGCACTCTGAACTAATATAATCAATGAATGAACATCTGCACTCTTAGAAGAAAAGGTTCTATCAGCGCTACGTATTTGGAACCCCTAAAAGATTCTATAAGGGTTCCTCTGGGTTCTATATAGAACCCTGGGGTTCCATACTTGGCCAATAGAAGCTTTTACCAAAAAAAAAATGGTTCTTTATAGAACCATTTTGGAGTTCCATATATGAAGCGGGGGATGGAACCATTTCTGGTTCTAAATAGAACCATTTCTTCTAAGAGTGTGTATTTTTATTAACTAACTAGCAAAGATGAACTAGAATAGTAACAAATGTATTGCTTGTTAGTTCATGTTAATGAACCTTATTGTAAGGTGTTACCCACATTGTTTAGGGTTAGTGATTTGAACAACCCCCAGAAATATCCTTCACACAAGTATGTACAATGCTGGTGTTTTGTCTTGACATGACACCACACTGCTTTTCCTCTTAGTATAGCCTGTCTCTGAGAATGTCTTTCTGTGACCATGATATGATGCACCTCCTAAGGCCGTTCCTGTATTATTTCAGCACAGAAAGACTAGAGAAGAGGACAGATCTGTGTTACGGAGTTAAACGGCAGATCCCGCTCTCCGCTTTAAGATTCTCCGTCACGCCGCCTCGACTTACAAGGGGATTTGTTTTACACAACACAATTATCATCCCTTTTTTCCCCACAGCTCGACTGAATGCACACTTTCACAATCTCCCTTCCCGCTCCGTCCATCTCCAAAGCACTAATCTAAAAATAAGCGCATGTAGGGAAGCACTGGAGCGGGGGGTAATTGTGGCGGAGCTGCAGGCAGTGTGAGGCTCCAAGTTGGACGTCTGCCTTCGTATCAAATTTCATTTACCGCTTCTGTGGTCTCTTTTTTCTTCGAACGCTTCCGTGCGCACACTTACGAACATGGCATACTAGCATACTAATCTTACTGGCAGAGGCGGCGTTTGCATGACCCACCCCACCTGGAAAATATTGTATGCAGTGCGACTGCAATTTGCAATGGTTGCTAGGGTATTTGGGGTGGTTGCTAGGGTGTTGCTAGGGTACTTGGAGTGGTTGCTAGGTTACTCAAGGTGGTTGCTAAGGTGTTATGTAATTGCTAGGGTACTCATGGTGATTGCTATGGTTTTGCTATGCAGTTGCTAAGGGTTTTGGGGTGGTTGCAAGGTTGTTGTTATAAATAAAGTTTATAACATGTTAAAAATATTTATTAATATTTTTTTGTTATTTTAAAGTCCATTCGCAGGTTTGGCAAAAAGTGAATTCTGGACATTTTAAATGCCTCTCATTAATGCAAGTGTCAAATCTTACTTTTTGAAGAACTATGCAACATTCCTTTAGACATTAGTATGCAGCGCACTATCGTTTCATCTCACACACAACTCATGCTGACCTGTTGCTCTCACACACATGCACTCTTCACACCCTTCACACTTTTAAAAGGTCTTTTCTGAACCTCCACACACTTCTTCCTATTCTCTCGTCATAATTGGCCAGCGCTGTGTTCATTATCACACACTGGCCAGCGGTTAATGCAGTGTGTGTGTGTGTGTGTGTGTGTGTGTGGTGTCTGAAGGCAGTAACGAGAGCTCCAGTGCGGGTGAGTTAACTCATCAACCGCTGCTCAGATGTAATTGTTCCACAGTATCAGACAGATTAATGAGAAACCTTTCGCTTTCCCTGTGATGTCGGCCAAGACATCCGTCAACCATTACTGCTCAATAGCACAAGAGTGTGTGTGAGCTCCTTTATAGGTGCAAAAGGGTCTATCTATCTATCTATCTATCTATCTATCTATCTATCTATCTATCTATCTATCTATCTATCTATCTATCTATCTATCTATCTATCTATCTATCTATCTATCTATCTATCTATCTATCTATCTATCTATCTATCCATCCATCCATCCATCCATCCATCCATCCATCCATCCATCCATCCATCCATCCATCCACCCATCCATGCATCCATCTATATATCCGTCCGCCCGCCCGCCCGCCCGCCCGCCCGCCCATCCAATCCAATCCAATCCAATCCAATCCAATCCATCCATCCATCCATCCATCCATCCATCCATCCATCCATCCATTCTTCCTTCCATCCATTCAATCGAATCCAATCCAATCCATCCATCCATTCAATCCAATCCATCCATCCACACATCCATCCGTCCACTTGTCCGTCCATCCATCCATCCATCCATCCATCCATCCATCAATCATCCATCCATCCATCCATCCATCCATCCATCCATCTCATCCAATCCATCCATCCATCCATTCAATCCAATCCAATCCAATCCAATCCATCCATCCATCCATCCATCCATTTAATCCAATCCAATCCATCCATCTATTCACCCATCCATCCATCCATCCATCCATCTATATATCCGTCCGTCCGTCCGCCCGCCCGCCCATCCATCCATCCATCCATCCATCCATCCACCCACTCAGTGGCCAGAAATTGTACTGGTAAAAAGTACGGTATAGCAACATTATAAGTTTTACACACTTAACTTAAATTTACATTAAATGCATGGTTAGATCTATCACAGTTATTCACTGTATATAGTACAGAAACTTTCTGTTAATCAATTATCAGTTTTGCACCATGCCATTTTTATAGTCTTTTACCATTAAAATCAGGATAATTTTGGCAAAGTGAAATGAACAAGCCTGCTTTCTCTCGTTGTTTTGGCCACATTTGCTATCCTACGGTAGTTCTGCGAGGACCCTGAGGATCTGGTATCTGCGGGAGTTTCTGATCCACTCCAGGAGGGTGTCAATAACAGCCAAGTGTCTGCAGCGGACCGTGGGATCACGCAGCCGGCCCGTCTCATGCTGCTGAGAAAGGTTACACAAGCATGAAAAGAGCCGCAGGATCGTTAAACAGACTCGTTTGGCAGCTATAGCCTTTTCCCAGAATGCTCTAGGGCAGAGTAACGATTTAGATTTTGATTTCCTATTCTATTTGAGGAAAACTGTATTGCTTCGAGGTTGCTCAGGAGATTAAATAAAAGTTTCAACTTTAAAAGATCCATAAGATATCTCTTTTAAAAATACTAGGGGTTTTCATTTCCGTCTCCATTTACTCTCTATTGACCTCCTAAGTTGCAAATTTAAGTTATGCGCATAAAACATTTGAAAATAAAGCACGCTTTCCATCCCATGTGTTTAAGAGAACAAAATCGACACTTCCTGGGACATTCGCACAAAATATCTGTAAAAAATAAATAAACTTGCTGCGATCAGGGATTTTCATATATCATAAATGACTTGAAGATGAAACCCTTATTCAAAACCATTTTGATGACAGACTTTGACTCAGGCATTTCAGAATGACCAAACCAACCTTTGAGATGCTGAGCGATGCGATTGGTCCACGGATTAAGCCAATTATCCAATTATGTGCATTGGGGGATTTATTCTGTAAATGTGTTTCCATCATAGTTTGCATGATATGTCCTCAATTTAGGCATTTGAATCTACCTAAAATCATTGAATGGTGATCCTCCATGGTGATCCTCCTGCATGGTGAGAATGTAAAGTAAAACGCTGTTGGGTTGATGAATTGGATTAATAATGAAGTCTTATCGCAGAATTGCACGCCTCCCGTGATCTACGCTGGTTTTATCAGGGATAGTGAATGATACTAGAAGAAATATGAAAAATGAGTGAAAACATAGAGAAGGTCGACTGTTCATATAAACTGCTGATAATAATAGAATAATAGACATGCCAGCGGCATTGCATAGTAAAATATGGCATAACACTGTATAATAACTTCCATTAATATGGCTTTAACACGCATTATACTGTAAGGCTAAAGGGAATAATTGAAAAATGAGAATTCTTTGAACATTTATTCACCCTCGTGTTGCAAAAAGAAAAAAACATTTTTTTTCCTTGGAATACAAAATTCTATGATATTTAATTAAAATGCCATTGGTTTTTAAATCTCGTATAATCAATCACAACACTAAACACTTGAATGTGCACAAGGGGACTTTTTTAAAAAACAAATAATAACTTAAATTCAAGTCCTCAAATAATAATCGTAATCGTCTTTATTCAGGACACATACACAAGATGGTCCATAGCCCTATACATATACCATAACATTACAAAGTACATTAAAAAGAAAAGGAAGAAAATAATAATATATAATAAATAATTCTTCAACATCTCTTTTTGTGCTCAAAGAAGACATTTTAGAATTTGATAATTAATATATACCAAGAAAAATAATAACTTGTATAAATTTTATGACATTTAAACACTTCTGCCCACCAAGGCTGCATTAATTTGATTAAAATCTGCAATATTTTGAAATATCATTAAAATGTAATTTGTCTGATTAAATTGTAAAATATATTATATTACATAATATATATATATATATATATATATATATATATATATATATATAACAAAACAGTTTTTCCAGGATTCTTTGATGAATAGAAAGCATTTATTAAAAATGGAAATCTTTTGCAACATTATAAATGTCTTTACTATGCACTTTTGATTAATTGAATGCATCCTTGCATAATAAAAGTATTATTTCATATTATATATATCCCACTCACCCCAAAGCTAATTAAGCATTACATGATTTAAAAGTAATTATATTTGTATTAAAAGTAGTTGTGAAGTGTAACCAGAGGCAGAAACCAGACTTGAATCACTTACTGTACATTGCAAATAAATTGAGTTGAAACTTGACCTCCATCATAGATGATTTGTGAACACACTCTTGAGACTTAGACTTGAGGCTCACAAACATCTCTGACCGTGGTTGGCTGAGGATCTGAGCACTCACCATTGAAATTAACGCTCCGGATGTATCCCAGCAGCTCCTTTCCATTGATATTGCTCATGCGGGGACAGAGTCCGGGGTATCCGAAGCAGTAATCCCTGTGCATGCGGTGCAGAGCGTGTGCCATCGCATACACCGCATCCATCACGAACTGAACCTTCCCTTCCTGCTCGTAGCTGGAGTCACGGCCCACCTTCTCCAGCCCTGACCAAACACACAAAACACACATCTTCAACAAACACAGCGTCAGGCTTTTAACAGGGAACCTCCTCAGAAGGTTTTTTTTAAAGTTATGAACAAATGTTCTTCAGTAACGTTAAAGGGATAGTTCACTTTGCATTGAATTTTTGATATGTTTTAGCTTACCTCATGTGCATGCTCTTTGAGGTGGTGACCATAGACCTGCATTATATGACTGACAAACAAGACCTAAAAATATCAAAATTGAAAATACTGTGGAAACAAAGACACCTACATCTTGGATGACCTTGAGGTAAGATAAAACATATCAAAAAATAATTTCAAAGTGAACTATCCCTTTAATAAAATTTTAATTCAAAGTTATCTGGTCTTTAATAATGTTCTCAGAACAAACACATCGTTCATTGTACACTCTAAAAAATGCTACTTTGTTTCAATCAATGCTTGGGCCAAATATGGACAAACTGTGGGGTTTAAAAAAGTCATTTTAAGCCAATATTTAACCCAACCATTGATTGAAACAAAGCACACTCTAAAAATTGCTGGGTTGTTTTAACACAGTTTTGGGTCAAAAATGGACAAATCCAACCATTGGGTTACGTTTAAAAATAACATTTTTAACCCAATGTTTGAGTTTGTTCCTATTTATTGGGTTAAAACAACCCAGCAATTTTTAAAAGTGCAGCATTTTTAGAGTGTACAATTGATTTCTGAAATGTTTTAGGTTTTTTGAAGTAGTTTTTTAAAATTTATTTTACCACTTGTTTTGGAATGTTCAGAGAACATTTGAAAGTAACATTCCAATAACGTTTGCAAACTGATCAGATGGAATGTTCACTTAATGGTCGCATTACATTTTTAAAACATAATGGAACATACACTCTAAAAATTGCTGGGTTGTTTTAACCCAATTTTGGGTCAAAAATGGACAAATCCAACCATTGGGTTACATTTTAAAATGACATTTTTAACCCAATTTTTGAGTTTGTTCCTATATATTGGGTTAAAACAACCCAGCAATTTTTAAGAGTGCAGCATTTTTAGAGTGTACAATTTATTTCTGAAATGTTTTGGGATTTTGTGACGGTCGCATTACATTTTTAAAACATATGGAACACTCTAAAAATTGATGGGTTGTTTTAACCCAACTTTGGGTCAAATATGGACAAACCCAGCCATTGGGTCAAATTTTTTAATTACATTTTTAACCCAATGGCTGGGTTTGTCCATATTTGACCCAAAGTTGGCTTAAAACAACCCAGCATTTTTAGAGTGTACATGGAACGTAAACCAAACATGTTTTTATTGCTGGGGAGCATGAGATGTTTCATTTGGAGACTCACTAATTCTCTTTGTAATAAATTGCTCTTTCTCAAACGTATGCACTCGTTAGAGTAATTAGCTAATCAAGTCCTCGCGGAGGCGTGTGTGACGGCCATCTGATGCACACATTCTACCCATCACAGGCAACAGCAAGAACGTGATCTTTCCAAACTAATATTTTCTTCCATATCTCCCGAGACGGCGAAAGTAATATCACGCCTGCCGTTCTGAACAAATATTCCAGCTGTTGTTGTGCGTAAATTGAATTTGGCTCAGGCATCTATGATTATTTCTCTCATAATCACCAGAGCGCTTTCCAAGTTGGTGTATTTTCAACAAAAGCATCGGATGCCTCCAGGAAGATCTTTCTTCTCCCGACACAGTTTTTGACGCAATGGAAGATAAATAAAATATGAAGGTGAATTAGCAAGACCTGGAGTCCTCCATCGCTTCTGCTGTCAGTGAGGAATTAATAGGCTCCTGTAAACGAAATCCAATCCGCTTTTATAGCGCTCTCAGAGCAATGGGAAAATGATGCATTTGGTCTTCCAAAAACCAGACTGATTACCTGACCTGCCCAGCGTGATAAATACAACACAGAGAAACACAGGCCGGAGACATCCACTCCCAGTGTCAAAATAGTACACTGTAAAAAATATTTTCAAGATTTGTTATCACAACATATTTTCTTTTGTCAAATCAACTTTATAATAATTTGTTTAGTTGAGATAACTTATTATTTTGAGTTTCTGATGGTTAAATTAATCTACTTTTTTAAGTTAAACCAACAATATTTTTTTACAGTGTAGTAATCACAACTGTTTTTCTTTTGTCAAATCAACTTAAATAATTTATTTAGTTTAGATAACATTTAATTTTGAGTTTCTGATGATTAAATCATTCTCCTTCATTGTATTAACTCACATTTTTTTTTCAGTTCAATGAACTTAAAATTTTATACAACCAGGTTACTTTTTTAAGTTAAACCATCAATATTTTTTTTACAGTGTGGACATATAATATAATATAATATAATATAATATAATATAATATAATATAATATAATATAATATAATATAATATAATATAATATAATATAATATAATATAATATAATATAATATAATTAGGGTTGGGTATCGAGAATCGAGTATCGATTGGAACCGGGACTAACTTTTCATTTTTCCCGGAATCGTTCAAAAGTTAAAATTTCGATTCCTAGTTTCGATATTCACAGTCCGCCGACCGGAAGAAGAAACCGCTGAACAACACCAACGAAGAAGCGTCTACCGGAAGTGTTGGCATAACCGCGCGAGTCGAACATGAGTAGCTTACGTCGGCGATCCAAAGTGTAGCTTCACTTTTCTAAAAATAACGAAATCTCGGCAAAATTTGTGACAAAAGGAGTATTTGTGACAGAAGGAGTATTTCCTTCAGAAAGACCGTTGGTTAGCAAGGTTAGCTAAACTTTTTTGACCCTGCCTCTTAAAAGAATCGGAATCGAGAATCGTTGGGAACCGGAATTGAAACAAGGAATCGGAATCGGAATCAGAATCGTTCAAATTCAAACGATACCCAACCCTAAATATAATATAATATAATATAATATAATATAATATAATATAATATAATATAATATAATATAATATAATATAATATAATATAATATAATATAATAAATATAATATAATATAATATAATATAATATAATATAATATAATATAATATAATATGATAATATAATAATACAATTAATATATATAGAATAAATATAATAATAATAATAATATAATTATGAAAACTACTGACGTTAAAAATACTAGCCTCCACACTGCATACTCCACAGTGATCTAGTATTCTGAACAACCTTGTACATTTATTTATTCATCAGACGCTTTCATCCAAAATGACTTACAAATGAGGAGACGTGAGCAATTAATCCTAAGCAGGGAATAGCAGTGCCACGATACAGAAGTTCGCACGCTGCCTTGGGTGTAGAGCTGGAGGGCGTTTGAGTGATAAAACTATAATCACAGAACAATGTCCTGGTTTTATGTCTATTAAGGCATGTGCACAGGCAGTTGTGTGTCTCAGTTGAGCAGGACGAGGAAACAGACTGACACATATTGAGCGTCTGATGACAGCACGGATGACGGACAGCTTAATGAGACGGACAAGAATCTAAATTAAACATCAATTACTGGCGCAAATTAAATTCCCTCCCTTTCATTTCGCTCAATTTCTGGAGACTACTGTTAAAAACACCTCTCTCTAGACTAGAGTTTGCATCAAGCTGACAATATCATATAAAAGAACAAGATCTGGCTTGAATTCAGAGCAGATCGTGATCACCGTAATGACTGGCAGTGTCATGAATATGCACAAATTGTCCGGCTTCCAACTCTCACACTGAATTATGCCGTGTGTGCCAACACTGAGACAATAATCACCAGTCTATATGCTATCTTATGCTAATGAGGACACTTTGGCTACACAATATATGCACATCTGGCTACACTGCACAAGCCAAGCTTGGAAAAACATCCGAACATTTGTCAACAGCAGCACTTGAGATGAAGTGTTCAGGGCTCGTTATTGTCATGTGGTTAAAGCTAAAATAACGAACAAATGACACGGAATCACTATCTGAGTAAATCTAAAAAGAGTCTCTATAGGGGCTTTCACTTAGAAGTGAAACTAGGAGATCTGAGTAAAAAAACATCCAATCCCATTATAGATCTCTATTATCTTTCAATGGACGTCTAGTGGTTGCTAGGGTGATGTAACTGGTTGCTAGGTCTGGTTTTGAATTTATGTCACCGCTTATTGGCTGCTTGAACAAAATAACCCCCACCCACAAATTTCTGTGACACTCTGAGCTGGAGATACGATCTCATGCTGAAGTTCATGCCCAACTCCATTCAAACTCCATTCAAACTCCATTCAAACAACATTCAAACTACATTTAAACTCCATTCAAACTCCATTCAAACTCAATTCAAACTCCATTCAAACGCCATTCAAACGCCATTCAAACGCCATTCAAACTCCATTAAAACTTCATTCAAACTCCATTCAAACTCAACCATTCAAAATTTTGGATGCTAATTTCGGACTCGGTGTGCAAGGGCCTTTAACGGTGAATTTATGTCCAGAAGAATAATAAGCATGAAAGATTACAATAGATACACTGATTATAATCTCACATATATTAAATTTAGCTTGAGATGCAAACTTAAACACATTAAATGATAAAAATAATATAAATGTGCTTTTTCACAGAAAGACCCAACGGCCCCGAATCCGCCCGAGGTCCAGAAGCCGGACAGCACATTTCTTAACCCATCACTGCAATTTCTCCAAGCTGATGGGATTCCTGAACTTCAAATGAGCCTGACACTCACACTGTCCGAGACCAGACGCCATTACTGTCGCCGGTGCAATACAGGCTTTTAAACAGCTTTGATTCATGTGAGGAAAGGCTAAACACATTCAGACAACTGTTATTTTATTTCCAATGTTCTCCTCTTTTCAGCAGGTTAGTCATTACGTGCGCGCTCGCCGGTCTTAGAAAGAGTCAGAGCACGGCATGGCACGGGAGACTAGTGTTATTGTTGGCAATAATGCGGAGCGTGAAATCGCATTAAGAGTTGCGGCTGAGGTTCTGCCACCTTGAGCTCT